TGAACAAACACCCTTCCCGATGCACAGTGGGCCACAGTAGCTGATGAGCAACACCCCAAGGATCACCTGGTGGAGGATCACCTGGTCCTGGGGCGCCGGGGCAGACTTCCGGAAGGCAGGCTGACTGGCTCTCAGGTGAGGACGGGCCGCCAGGTGGAGTCCCTGGAAGGAAGTTTGGGGACATCAGCCCACACGCTCAGGGACCCGCAACACCCCACAGAGCGAGTGCTACCCCAGTGGGACACCTGTCCCACCCCTCTGGCCCACGCCTGACTCACACCCCACAGGGGGAAGTTGCGTCTAAAATCAAACAAGGTTAAATCCTAATGCCTGGGAGCAAGAGCTTGGCTTCTTTTTTGCAGTATTATGATAATGATGATGGTGACGATGGCAATTTTGGGGTTTTGAGATGTGTAATCCAGGCTGGCCCGAAACTCCCATCAACCATCCTGCCTCAGCCTCCTGAGAAATGGAATAACAGGCATGCACCACCACATAGAGCTAAGACACACACATTCTACACAGTGCTTTGTCTGAGTAGCACGAAGGTGTCTCCTCTGGCCCCCTCTCCCAGGGAGGCAGGAACGGTCCCACTGCGCTCACTACCCCACGCGGCATTGGTCGCTCACAGCAGGTCTAGGTCCCCAGGTGGCTGTCACACCGTAGTGGCCTTGAGCTCACGTGATCCTTGTTTTACTTAATGGCACCAAAGGACAAACTCCTGACACTGCCAGGCTTATCAGCATTTGCCCCTGAGACACCTGTCATCCATCCCAGCACTCGGGAGGCTGAGGCAGGAGCATCTCCGTGCATTCAAGGCCAGGCCAGGCTGCATAGCAACACCGAGACCCTGTCTCAGAACACAAAAAACACAAATACTTGCCAAACACAACAAACAAACAAATATGTGGAGAAACTGGAACCTTTGTGCACTATTGGTGGGAACAGAAAGAGGAGAAGGCCCTGGGGGACGTCCTGGCTGAGCTCAGGAACGGAGGATGGGGAAATCCATCCACGAAATCCAGCGCTCCAGGGCTGGGGAAGGGCAGGCGAGAAGACCCCTCTGCCTCAGCCTCAGCACTTCTGCAGGGACAAGGCCTTGCTGTGCTTCCACACCTGTCCTGGAAGGATGGGTCTCTGTCTATCTGTCTCTGTCTCTCTGTCTTTCTTTCTCTGTCTCTATCTCTCTGTCTCTCTCTCTGTCTCTCTTTCTCTCTGTCTCTCTGTGTCTCTGCCTCCCGCTCCCCGCACTAGCAGTTAAACTCAGAGTCTTCACGCTGAGCCGCAGCTCCTTTTAACTTTCATCCTTCGCGTTTGCAACACACAATGAACACATTCGTCGTGGGTTTCTCGCTGCTGCTGTTGCTTAAGTTTTCAGACAGGGTCTCCCCGGGACGCTCCCTTACCCAGGCCGGGTGACCTTGTGACCTTCCCGTGCGCCCCGTACCCCGACATCTCCCTCCTGTGTGGCCCCGCCTGGGTGCCAGCACCCGGGATATCAGGGCAGGTACCCCGGGAGCTGCAGCTGGGCCTGCGCATGCTCTGCCGAGGGTGACCACGGGTCCTGCTGCTCTGTGCCCGACTCCCCTGGCCGAAGCGACCCCAAACTCCTGCCCACGCAGCCCTGGGTGCACTTTATTTTGTAACAGGGCTTCCCAGCTATCATGAGCTCCTCCAAGGCCCTGCTGAATTTGGGTGGCCCTCATGCAACGACTGATGCCCTCTTAAGAAAAGGAAGCCCAGCGTGGGGACTCACATCTGTAATCTCAGTTTGCAGGAGGCTGAGGCAGGAGGACCTCTGTGAGTTGGAGACCAGCCTGGGCTACAAAGTGAGTTCAAGAGCTGGGCGTGGTGGTGCATGCCTGTAATCCCAGCACTCGGGAGGCTGAGGCAGGAGGATCCTTGCGAGTTCAAGACCAGCTGGGCTACAAAGTGAGCTCAAGGCCAGCCTGAACTGCGTAGAGAGACCCTGTCTCAAAAAGACAAAAAAATGAGGCCAGGGGCTTAGCTCAGTGGAGCAGTGCCTGCCTGGCAAGCATGAGGTCCTGAGTTTGATTCCTGGTAACC